GTATTGTCTGTATTGTGCTTGTGATATGTTGTAAAATGTTGTATGTCTGTTAATGTTTCCCTCCTTTTATCCTTAAAATAAAAAAAAACTAAAAAAAAAAAAAATTATCCAGAAGTACACATATATTATGCAATTATTTTACTACATGTTTATGAATTATAAATTCTGCCAAAATAACAAACAATTATTTTGATCACATTAATGTGATTAAATTCATTTGTCAACATTTTGGAATATAAGTTGAGATATTTTTGCACTTATTATTAATCTGTTATAAACATATGCTGCTCGTAATGCAAATCTAGACTAGGAGCAATTAAACCTGACAGAAGAATGTACAAGGAATTGGTTTTGCTGCCAAAATAGATGAAAATTAAAATGTTTTACATATATTGATCTATATAAATTAATAAAATCTTTTCTTTTCTATATGTATGCTTAGATTTCTTATGCAAATAAGAGTGCTTCATGCCCTTATTCCAGTAGAATGAAATTCTTAGGATTGAAAAGAGTACACATTATCCCCAAATTATAAAAATATTCAGGGGTAAACATTAATTTATTGCATCTGTGTTGTAGACATCATTTACCCATATGTCTTGTATGAACAGTGGATGATTAAACAAGGAGAAATCGAGACATCTGACCATGGATGGGAACACAGACTACTGTACATCTACTAGTTCTTCCCCAGATGTCTTAGTTACTTTTCTCACTGCTGAGACAAAATACCTGACACCCAGAGTTGAAAGAGGAAAGGTTTGTTTGGCTCACACTCTGTAGAGGTTTCAGTTCACGGTTGGCCGGGCCAAGGCAGGGTGGCGTGGCAGAGGGGCGTGGCAGAGGGGCATCGCAGAGGAGAACTAGCCCACAGCGAGCAGGCGGGTGAGCGCAAGCAAGCGACCTCAGCACCTTTTTTCTACTCCTGTTATACTCTATCTGGGCTGCCAGGATTAGAGTGGTGCTACACCAATCAGTGGACTGATTTAGTGATCACCCACCCTTCATCCCAGCATCACACTCTAGATCCAGCCCTCTCTGAAAAGCCCCACTTACGACTGCAGGTGGCTTTGGGGAGACATCTACACACAGTCCATAACACCAAATTAACCCATGAACTAAATACCTGCGATCCTAAAATGAGCAATATGATTGCAGAGGCCAGCCAATGCTAGACTTCTAAAGGCAATACGGGAGAGAACACTGTAAAAATAGCCTCAGACAAATTGCAGTAGTGAAACTTGAAAAGAAAAATAGAAAACTATGTACCAAATAATGCTTATAAATGTTTATAATCAGCATATTAAAAGCATGGTGCTTCAAAATGAAATAAAAGTGAAACAGGATTGAGAAACAGCAGGGTGTGTGCATGGAGCAGCGCCCATAGCCTGAGCTCTTCCTCAGCATGACGGCCTTGCTTTTCCTCTGCTGGCATCCTCTGTGCCCGGGAGATGTGCTGGGAAAGCTCCTGCTCATAAGGTGTGGTACTCCTGACTGGGGTACAGAAGGGCGGAGCCCGACCTGGGAGCAGGTTTGTGCTCAGGCACGGGGAGGTCTTCTCACATGCACAGGGCCTTTCACCTGGGATGGGTAAAGACCATGCTGGTGGCCACACTGTGACAGGCTGGGAAAAGGAACCAGGATGTACTTTGTGTGGACCTCACCTTTGATCCAAAAGGCCACCATTCTGTGCCTGATAGTGTTTATCAAAAATTTTATCCAAAAGTGCACATATATTATGCAATTATTTTACTATGTGTTTCCTGGACTTTGCTGCATTGGCCAAAATTTTTAGTGAAATGTCTGGTAGAAGTGATCACATGGGAAATTGGTATCATTTTTGTTTTCAGATTTGAACCACAAAATGCGAGTTATTTAGGGGAATGAATATAAATACCATTTATGGGATATAGACAGTTTCCTACTACTCCTAATATAGTGAGAATTATTGTTGTTGTTGTTTAGTTGTAAGTCATGGAAAGGTATTCAATTTAGTTATATTTTTCTTCATTTTTTGATATTATCTCTTTTCTCAGAACATAGGAGCATTTTATTTTATTTTATAAACCAAACTTAGTGATTTGTTCATGTTGCACTTTTTCTTTTTGCTGGAGGAGTTTCAATTAGCTCAGTATTACTGTGCTCTTGAATGCTTATAAATTTTACCACTTAGTATACTCTTAATTGGTATAAGAATTGTAGGGAGATATTAAATTATGGACTCCAGATTGTTAGTACATATGGTAGTGTGGAGAAGGACATTCTTTGATTAGAATGTGTTGAGGACATAATGATTTGTTTATTATTTGTTAGAGTTTCTTAAGATAAGGCTTCATTATATAGCCCGGATTAACCTTGAGTTTATGATCCTCCTGTCTCAGCCTCTTGAGTGCTGGGATTACAGGCGTGTGTTGGATTACATGTGGAGAAGGATAATCCTTTAATTATCCTTACTGAAATGTTTGGTATCCGCCCATTTGTACTAGCTATGCCCTTGGTTCTTGCTCAATAAAAGGTGACTGAATTTGGTATTTGAGGCTGCAGTCCGAAAGGCTGCAGACTTTTGCTTCTCTTGTTTTTCTTGTCTCTCTTACTTTTTCTTTTCATCTGTGGGCACCTCGTTCTCGGGACCTGACACCCTGAATAAAACGACATGGTACTATAGAGATTTTTAATTTTTCTTAGGGTAAATATGTTACCATCTCCTGTGATTTTTAAATTTTAAGTTAACTTTCAAATAGACTTGAAATTATTTGTACTATATTTCTATATAATTTTTCTATAGACCTTTATAAATGACCCTCTTTGGGTTATGATATTGTATTGTTTTTTCTCTTCTTGATCAAATGTCTTAAGGGGTGTCAGTTGCATTTTACTCCCCAGAATCAACATGATTTTTGCTTATTTTCTCTATGTATGGCTTTTAATTTAAGAAACACTAGCATTTTGTTTCTTATATTTTTTCTTTCAATTTGTTCTTTTTTCTCTAGTTTCTGATGAATATTTAAATGTAGAACTTCATCCTTTTTCATTTAAATAGACATAGTAACATGTAAATATACATAATATAGAGTGTATCTTTGTCTCTAAGGAGACAGGATTACTTTCAACACACAAGAGTTGAGAAGCAGTATTTTCAATTACAGATAATTTATTAATTACAGATAGTTTTTCTATTACAGATAGTTTATGCTATAATCTATTCTATAAACTAGAAATTATTGAGAGTGTATTTCATGAACCAGAAATATTCAGTACTTGATATATTAGATACATTGTTCTCTGTATGTGTATCTGAAACATTTAAATAAAAGTACTGTATCTTATCTCCAATCTCTATAAAGAATATAAACCCAAGTTAACTACACAATACATGGCATAGTCAATATTGCAAAGCAAATTTGAAATCATATCAAGTATCTTGTAAAACGAAATAATTGTATCAGCCAGAAAAAGAAATTAGAAAATTTGCAGTAGAACAATGATTCCACCAAGTCACAATTTAGTATAAATTCAAGCATATCCAAAGTAGTACTTACGTTACACAAACATCTTCAGCATTGGATTTCTGTAACTTTTCTACACCATGTCCTAACATGCATCTTTTATTACCTATGTTTCATTGACTTGGAGCCTCACTTTAAGCCTTCGAATATTACAAAAATAGGGAATATACCATTTCAGGCACTGTTATCCTAACAAGAATTTACACAATCCATCATCTCTCTGATAGAGCACCAATGCTACTGTCTCTGTAAAGTATCTCAGACATACTCACAAAAATATAGATATCAGCACTTATTAAATTCCTTTGTGTGAACATTGTCATTGCAGCTGTATGTCATAGACTAACTCAGGACACATTTCAAATACTGACATATAAATTCTAGACAAGCAGGGATAAAATCCAGCAATTGAGGTGACGCTATACTATAAGCATGCTGTACACCAAAGACATATTCTGTCTCAAACCAATTACAAGCTCTCTGAACACCTGCTTTGTGTTGAGAACAATAGAAAACTAAGGGCATGCCAAATTTTTGTCTTCAGTGTAATCTGAAGTACTTTCAAAGAATGTAGAATTCGTGTTTAATAATACTGTATTATAAACACGATGAAGGTGAAACTTTAAAACTGGTGTAAAACAATTTTCTTGAGAAGTAATATTTTCAGAAGGGGCACATACCTGTCATCCCAGCTACTCAGTAGGCTGAGGCAGAAGGACAAGTTTTAGGCCAAGCTGACACAACTTAGTGAGAAAGTGTCTCAAAATAAATTAAAAACGCTACTGCAGCTCAGTGGCAGGGCACCTATTTGTTCAATCTCCGCAGTGCCAAAAGAATAGGAGGAAAAGAAGACAAGAAAACAAAAACGAGCCAGTGTAGTTTAATGGACAGAAAGTGTGTTTTCTTTTTTCTTTTTGGTTTTTCTCTGGTACCGGGAACCGAACTCACGACTTTGCACTTGCCAGGCAGGCGCTTCTGCCGCTGAGCTAAATCCCCAGCCCTTAAGAAAGTGTGTTTTCAAGGACTAATTGTACTGAGTGCAACAAATGAATGTCTTAGTGAAAGAAGGAAGAATTTCGTCATTGTTGTCCTCTACAAATGTTTTCCATTTCCTGAATGGACAGGGAGAATATCAAAGAAAGGTGGAAATTTTGTCTAAAAGGCAAATTCTTACCTGTGTCATTGGCGATTTTGTTCTCTGGGCAACGGGTGCATCAAAACAGCAGGCAGCCTTTCCCTCCCGAGGGCTTTTTCTAAGTCCAGGATTGCAGCTCTCACTGCACACCCAGCGGGGAGTCTGAGGAAAAAATTATAAAATGATGACTTCTTAGACTTTACTTAACCCTTCAGGACTAGAGGGATACACTTCATTTGTACACATACATATACACAGTTTTATGATTAAATCTCAATCTTTTAGTAATACTAAATACATATATTTAAAAAGGTAATTAAATAAATATCCTCCATTCTCTTTCATAAGAGCATATTAAATAAGAAATTTCTTCAGGTTAAAAAGGAAGTTGTCCAATTTTGTATATAATTTCATAAGCAAAGTTGGGGGCACTAAGCCTATAACATTATTCCGGGTATTTGTGGTTCACAAAGTGCAGTATGATTATGCCCAGCGTACCTCTGTAATTGCTCTGGCCCACTCGATCATATTTTCAGATACAGATAATCTTTGATCAAGTGAAACATGTAGGGAAAATGTTCCTACTTTGACCTTAAGTCTAAGGCCTTCTGGAAAATTGCAGAAGTTCAAAATGTCATATTCTACATCCAGTTTCCTTCTGTCATCCAAGTTCACTTGGTCTCCAACAGGATTGTTAAATTGTGTGTTCTTCAGAAAAGGGTGCAGCTAAAAGAGACATCATCCTACGTGAACAGGGATTAAGACAGAATTAAGACAGAAAACTTGAATGAGGAAAGCAACAGCTTCTCTTTCATTCCTTTCCATATGCAATTTTTTTTTTTTGGTACTGGGAATTGAACTCAGGACCTTGCGCTTGCCAGGCAGGCACTTGTGCCGCTGAGCTATATCCCTGGCCTTCCATATGCAATGTTAACGCTGCCATCAGTGAAGTAAAACAAATGAAAACCTATGGAGGACTAAATATTGTATTATTCTTAAAATGTTACTTTCTGGAGAAATCTGTCATCTATGCCCACTTCATAAACACAATAAATGGATTTTAGGTCAAATCAGTTGTGTGATCAATGTTCTAACAACCGTTTTCATTTGGATTGTTCTCATCGTAGCTGCCTGCAAAATTGTGTGTGTGTGTGTGTGTGTGTGTGTGTGTGTGTGTGTGTGTGTTTTGTACCAGGAATCAAACAGGACCTTGCACTTCCCAGGCAGGCACTGTGCTGCTGAGCTCTATCCCCGGCCCACAAAATGTGGTTATCAGTTCCAAAAGTGGATGAAGAATGGAATGAGAAAACTGATACAATGTGTGCATTACACCATTAAATGCCATTTAGGTTCATAAAGGACGACAGGTTTCTCTGTTAGGCTTTAAGAAATTCTTGGTAAATATTTGGATTGTTCTAATGAAAATACTAGGTGGATGTGGCACTGACGTCCTTTAAATTAGAGCAGTGACTTTGCCTTGTATGTATATCCTGCTTGCCAGTGGCTCCTTTCTTGATGACCATTTCAACCCAGGTCAAGATTTACCTTATTCATGAGACTGGTGCATAGTCTCTTACACTGTTGAAGAAAGATTCTTAAGCTCCTTGGGTGGAGCACATGTGTAATAACTTAAGTAAGGTACCTTGATGATGCTACATATCACCCCGTGGAAGACACGTTACCTGCCAGGGGGCAAACACCATTGCTTCTCTGGTTTCCACGAGTGCCCTTTGTCCTTGCTGTAGAAGCATCGCATGGAGGGCGTAGGCCACAGCATACACAGCATTGTATATATTGTAACTCCCGTCACTCATGGCTGTGTCAAAACGATTCACAGGCAGCTGCACCAAAGAGGCACTGGGTGCACAGTCCTTCAGTTCGCAATCAGAGTCAGAGAAAGAGCAATGGAAAGTCTGGAACCAGTACATAGTGAGGTAAGTGTCTTCTGGGTATTTGGGAGGATTAGCTGTCTGGACAAAATTTTTGAAACCAGGAATCTCCTCATGGTGCTGTGAAACAATAAGAGTCCCGTGGAATGAGTCAAGGATGAAATTTCTCCCAGCCATGTCAGCATGCCATTGGGAGTTTGTCACCCAGACTCCCCAAGTCACTAAATATTGCCGGATATCAACATCGACTTCATTTAGACCGTCACTATCATAGTAAATAATAACCACATTTACTGACATTGGTTCCTTGATCAGGCTATTTTTGTGCTGCATATTTGAGACATATGACATAAGAGGATTTGAGATCATTTGTAGAAATCCAACACAGACGCCATTCCTGTCCATCTCTGCTTTTATATCTGAGAGAAACTGAAGACTTTTCTGACCTTCTGTAATGAGAAGTTCCACCCAGGTCCACCTGAAATGAATCATCAAGGAGACCATGGCAAGGGCCAGCGATGTGTCCTTTTGAGCTACCTGATAGAGAGAAGGAAACTGGGCAGTGTCTCTAAGCCTAGGATCAAAAGAACCGGAAGTAACCTGAAATGAAAAGGAAGTTGGAAGCAGCATGAGGAAGGGTGTTGACACACCCCAGTACCAGACCTGAAGAGTAGCAACAGCCAGATGCAACAGAAGGAGACGCTTGCTGCTCCCACTTTTAATGACCTCATTCACTAAAAGATTTTTATAAAATAGCTGATCAGACTCAGACTTCTACAACACATCCTCACTTTTGTCAAGCTGGACCTGGACATGACTTTCGCCGCACCTAATTTGTTTGTCGGCAGCAGTGTGACTCCCAGACAAAACCCAACCCAGTTCCCTGACAAACACAGGGCAGGATGTCATGAAGAGATAAGACAACATGAAATCTTCTGAGCACAGGACATCTGGAAACATCTATATGTTCATACCAGATGCCCCGAGGACTTTGAAACTGAGGAACTGGTGAACTTTGACCGTGGTTATTTGCTCAGATGTCCTCACCTGAGGTTCCTGAGCCCCCTACCACATACTTTGCCTTATCTCTCAACTTGACACCCCCTTGTCCAAGCCCTGTTGAAAAGGCTCTGCTTTTCTGTCTACCTCACAGACTGCCCTTTCACCCTCTGTCTGTCTGCACCCATGCACAATAAATTTTATGCCATGTTGCCTTTATACAAGCCTGGTGGTCCCTGCTGGTCTCTGACTCATGTTGTCCCTTACAACTTTCTTCTGCCCCTCCTCTTGGCTGAACACAAAAAGTATGAGTAACCACCAAGTCTCTGTCTACTTCCTGTTTGAGACTGTCTACTTCCATGATGCATAAACCCAATCTCCTCCTTTCATCCCTTCTAGGCAGCTTGTAATGGCCCCAGCAAAGACATGGTTTCATCTTTCCCCATCACATAACCCTCACCTGTGGAAACTTGTAGAGCTCCAGCAGTGGTCCAATTTGAGCAGAGGTTGCCCATGATGCTCCTGTTAGCACTGCGACAGAATTGCTCTCTCTCCTACAGGAGTAAATTGGGGATCTCATCCTGTCCTGTGAGCAAAATGAGGGAACTCTCCAGGACCCTCCAGTGACTGTAAAGGAAATTATGGAACTCGTAGCCCAGAGATACGTTGGGTAAAAGATGAGGATCCCTGTTGATCTCTTCTATGGCAAAAATGAAGGCCAGAAAATTCTGGTAGTTGCTTGGCTTAAGCTTGCATACAGCAGATCAAGGTCCTTAGGGAGAAGACTATGATTATACTCCAACCCAGTACAATAGCATTTGTGAACTGAATTTTTGTGTTCCTCCTCCATTGTCATATGACAAGGTCTAAGCTTGAGTTTGTTGGCAATAGAAGTTTTGTTTTTATGAGATAATTAGAATAGGCAAGGGCTTGAGGATGGACTCCTCATGAATTAGGTAATTTTCCTTACTAGAGTCCAGAGAGAGTTGCTTTATTATTCTGCTCTTTGAGGATGCAGTACTAAGACTTTTTTTCACTTATAAACTAGGAAGCAGTCCCTCTTACCTTTTCAGCATCCACACCTATTAAAAGAAATGATTATTGTTTTAAATTTCTGGTTGGTGGTGATTTTATGCAGCTGGTTGAGTTAAGACAATGTCCTAAACAAAAAAATTTAGTCTGTCTTTGGAAGAAGTGGCCTCCATGAAGTCCTAGAATTTCTAGGTACACAAATAACATAACTTTTACTCTAAAATGACCTTACAATAGTTTTCAGCTGTGCTGAGGGAAGCTTAAAGAATGGAAAAGCAGATTCCACTCATATTTGGTTTAGCGATGGTCCTTGATATCAAGAATTAAAACATTTGCACATAATATCACAATGTTAAACGCTTCATATTGAAACAAGTACATTCTGGGTGTGTCAGTGAAGATAAAGAATAATTTTAAATCAAATCTCTGTGACAAATAGAGAAACATAACCTCTGTTGGATGATTGTTATCATTTGGACAGGATTGTTGAAATTGCTTGGTACAATGACATATATTTTCCCATTTACACTACTACATCTCCTTAATCTTCCTAAACACCCTCATTATCAGCAGCATTATCTTTTCCCAGGTGAGGCTGTATTATCTTCAGATGTGAGGCTGTATTACCTTCAAATATGTAAAATAATATTTCTGTGTGCGAATTTGATCCTTTATGCGATTATGATCGGTACATTCATTTTCCTTTTAAAAATTTCTAATCCTACATTTATTCCTTATCTAATGTACTGAAAATAGTACAGCTATCTTAGATGAGTACTTGTTGGAGTTTCCATAGTGATAGCTTTGTGGACATTGCCATTCTACATCTTTAAAATGTTCCATATTCGTTGTGGTTTAAACATGTTTTTGTAAACAGGAAATAAGCCTCCCACGATGGCACCAGCACTCTCCAATGCCCAGCAGCCTAGAGTAGCCTGTGTGGTCACTGGATGTGATCTGCAAAGCCAAAACCACGGGAAGACTCAGAAAACACGCAGGGGTCACTGGATTCCACCCTTTCCCAGTGGAGAAAGGGAGGTACAGGAAGAGCGTGTCCTTTCACAGTCCTGCATGAGCAGTGGAATTACCCACTCCATGAGCTCCTGCACACTGCATCAGAGGAGTCTGACCGAGGAGCAGCACCTCAGGAAAATGGCTCCTTATTCTTAGTCTCATGCGTAAAGGAGCAGCTTTTTTGGGGGAGAGAGAGTCCCAGGCTGAATAAACAGGGTTCAGGTTACATGGTGCCTGCAGGGTAGGTGGGACTCCAGACTTCTGGGTGCCGGCGTGCGGAGGTAGAGCATCCGCTATGCTCACACACTCCTTCCCCATGTGCGTCTCACTGTCATGTGAGATTTCCACCTCGTTGTGTGACTTTTACTACACCAATAAGGCAAATGTTTCTACACAGTGTTGTTTTAATAATTATTGTAAGTACCAGTTTGCCACTACCTTCTGGAATTTGTTCCTTATCACCTCAGAAAGTGCTTACTATAGTTTGTAGTGTAGGCAGATCACTGTTCTGTGTCGGTGAGCCTGATTTCAATGACCTTTTTTGGCTGTGATCTCCTCGTATGTCTATATAGTATGTCCATATTGACCACAGTGTGTGATGGCTGAGCTGTCTTCTTAACCTTCCATCACCTGGTGTCTCAACTTTTTCATGATTTTGCACATATGACAGTGTGACCATTTATTTTGATCAGAAATCTGGGCCAAAATCAAGGAGAGTGACAAGAAGACAAACACGGGCTTTGGGCTGTGTTTAACCTGGCACGGGAAGAGACGTCTAAGTCACACAAGCCCCTAGCTGATTCCTATGTCACTGGATGGAGCAGTAGTCTATGGTAGACTCAGTGAAGACTCAAAGCCGGGGTGCGGGATGTGGCTCAGTGCTAGAGCCCTTGCCTAGTGCAGACAAGTCTCTGTATCTTGTCCCAGCACAACGAAGAAAACAGGCCTTACAAGGACAAGAGCATCAGGTTAGGGAAGAGGACAGACAGGAGAGGGCTCAGGAGAGTGAGAGGGAGGGAGAGTGAGTTCCTTGAAAAGAAAGGTTTTGTTACCATCTGTTTCTTTTTTGTAAGAATAGTTTGGGTTTAGGTTTGGGGCTCTGAGTAACTACTTTGCTTTTTTTTTTTTCCCCTGGTACTGGGAATCGAACTCACGACCTTGCGCTTGCCAGGCAGGCGCTATGCCGCTGAGCTACATCCCCAGCCCTGAGTAACTACTTTGAAGGCTGTGATATCTGGTGTACTGTTATTCCCTTATTATTCTATTATGAAATTTTGTTTTTGATAAAATTGAAAAAAAATTTTTTTTAAAGAAACAGTGACCACGAGGTGTCGCCGCAGAACCAGCGTGGGCGCATCGGCGCTGACCGTTCCTGGTGGCTCAGGGAAGCGGACACCTGGGCGCGGGAGCGGGGGAAATAATCCAAACGCGGGCTCGGCCGGCCTGGGCCTTGATCATCCGAGCCGCATTTCTCACCCAGACCCGCGCCAGGCAGAAGCGCCGTCCGTCCCCGCCGCGGCGGCACGGACCCTGAAGCTTGAGTTCTGGTGAGCTCAGCCTGTGAAACCCGACTTGGGATGAGTCGTAGCAGAAGTCAGGGCGTGAAGAAATCCCCGCAGGAAGGAGCGGCCCGGGTGCACCCTTACCTGGACCCTCACTGCCAGCCCTAGTCCACCAAGGGGGCGCCCTCTGTCTGTGGCAGTGCCCTGCGCCGCGCATCGGCGGGGAGGGCGGCTTTGCTCAAGTGAGTCCGCAGGGAGGCTTCCCCACCCAGCCGGTCAGTGTGCGCTGACGGCTCCTGGGGACGAGCTACCGAGCGCGGCGTCGGCCTCCGTGTGAAGCGCAGACCCTCTGTCTTTTGCTGTTCAGTGCTTAGCTGAGGTCCCACCAAGTTTCACTTAGGGTGCAGAACACCTTCCTCTTCTCTCAGCAGAAAACCCGCCCCTGACGCCGCCTGTGGTTCAGAGCTTAGCTTCTCGTCGCTTTCGCTAAACCTGGCACAGGCCTGGAACGTGCTGCGTTATGAAAGCGGCTATTCTCCACCTCCTGAAAACCCCGACTGCGTTAGTGTTCTGAACATAACCTGTGTTTGAGCTCCAGCACCTACCCAGGTCTCAGTTAAGACAGTAAGTGTACACTGAGCCCGGTACGGACAGGTTGAAAATATATCCACAGCATTTCTCTGCGGCCCTGGAGAGTGCAGCAGGGCAGACAAGCCGCCTAGTCCCTCAGGCTGATGTTCGCTAGGTTTGAAACTCCTCCACTGAAAAGGTGGGGTCCAGTTGCTCCGCTGAGCACGTAGTCTACCACTGGGCCGCAGCCCCGGCGCAAGGTTCGTATTCCGTACGCAGTGGGATTTCCCACTCACTTTCCATTACTTGGTCTGCTAGGCACTGCTTCTGCTGGAGTGCTTTCGTATAAAACCTAAGGTACTGCTAGAAACCAGTAAACTTTCTACAGGGAATTCATTTTTTCCTAAGTGATTTCTTTACAGGACAGATGCCTTTTTCAAATATTTTAATCTTGTTTATTGTCTCATATTTTCTCAGGGAGAACAATTTCCAACCTTCCTGTAGCAAGCACTTAGTATCATGTAGTCTATTTCACAGCTTTCCTTAAACTTGGGGAAGCTTTCCTTTAAAAATAACCATTGGTGCAAATGTGGGAATTTGCATCCCACATCATATACTCTTTTACCCTCCTATTTCCAAGAGAGCTTGGGCTAGAGAAGGGAGGGTCTAGCCGGGCATGCTCACAGAACAAGCTTAGGACTTCTGGCCCGGGAGGAGGCGTTACCTCAGCAGGGCACTTTCTCCCCAGACAGCATCATCGCAGCCTACAAATCTGCCCCCCGGTTCCTACTTCTTGAACTCCATCAAGTATCTTATGTCATCTTGCAGAGGGGCCAAGTCCACATGAACGGTGTTATGGGTGTCCCCCCAAAGCCTCCTGCAGCCTTGGGCAGGCTTTTAGAGTTTGACTGATTATGGGTGTGAGAGCTACACCTGCCCTGGGGTGGATAGTTTGCATATGCAAGGGAGAGGAAGAGGCTGCTTGCCGCCATTCCTCCCTTTTGTGTTTGTTGCTTTTGCTGTGTTCTGCCGCCATGAGCTGTAGCCCTCTGCCATGTGCCACTCTGCCTTGTAACCTGCCAAGTATGGACTGAAACCTCCACAAACTGTGAGCTAAATAAACCTTTCCTTCCTTAATTTTGGGTGTCAGGTATTTTGTCCCAACAAGGAGAGAAAAGTAACCGAGGCAAACAGGTGACGGAGAGAAGGAACAGCTCTAATATCTTCCAGCACCACACATCATGGTGGGTTTTTACTCTAATCTCTTCTGGCTACATACATTTTTAAAAAGTTTTGACACCTTGTGGAGTAACAGAATTTATGGTTCTTTCTTTTTACTTTTTTCTGAAGTGCTCTGACAAGTTTAAAAACTCAGAAGATCAGACTGGCATTTCCTGTTTTTACCCTGCATGATGTTTATTTGGGCTGTCGTCAGGTGGATGAGGAGCTCCAATTTCAACCCATAGTAAAGGAATTTGGCCTTCTGTTGTATAGAGGGTTGGTAAAGTATTCTCAGAATGTTTTAAAAATAAAGTGGTGCTCGGAATTCGTTCCAGGCTGATTGATTTAAATGAAACCTGAGCCCTGTACACCCTGGGGTAGCTGGAATTCTGCTGTCAAGAAAGGTCTGGTGCACTGAGAACTTTCAATGGCATCACAGCTATGTGGTGTGTTTTTGACACTTGTGGTATTAGAATATGCAAAAATGGGACTTTAAATTATTATTATTATTATTATTATTATTATTATTATTATTTTTCTCCAGTACCAGGAACCGAACTCATGACCTTGCGCTTGCCAGGCAGGTGCTTTGCCGCTGAGCTAAATCCCCAGCCCCTAAATTATTTTTAAACTTCTAAAAATGTCAGAACAAAGTTAGAATGTTTGATGTTTTGTAATTTGAAAGCTCCTGCCTCTGGCTGCATTTATAACACAGTGGCAGAGCCAAGCAGTTGCCACAAAACTCATGGCGCCCTCCGATCTAAAATATCTACCTTTGGCCCTTGGCAGATAAACCTTTGCAGACGCCTGTGCTAAGTCGGTTATCGGCGGCTTAGGGATGCTCTCCTAACTGCTGACATTGGTGAAACTCCCGTCACCTGGGCGTCTCGGCCTTATTCGTCAGTAACTGGGTTGTTAGTTCCCAGTATCATGTAGAACGGGTTGCAATCCAGAAATAACCACTTTTCAAATTAAATTCAACAAAAGCAAAGATGCTCTAATTCTTTTCACATTGTTTATTTTTTCTTTAAATTCTTGCCAAAAATATTCACCCGTACCATTATATGCATAGGTATGAAATACTGACACTGAAGAGGCAGAAATACTTATAGCTCAGCACAGGTTCCGAGTTTTTCAGCCTACAAAGGCCCACCGTTCCGGTGGCCACGCCTGGGCAGGGTCGCCATGAACTCACTGTGCGGGAACACGCTGATCTTAACAAGGGCACCACCGGGATATTTTTGCCACGAAACACCACATTCTTTATAAAAATACTGTTGTCACGTTCAAATCAACTGTAAGAATTTAAGCAAATGTGGAATTCTTTCAACTGGGCATCTCTCACTTATGATAAGATTACGGTGCATATTTATTTGCTTAAATTTCTCAGTCAGTGTTATTGAAACTTTAGATGTGACCGTTTCACAGCAAGTGAAAGAAACTGGTGCATCGCTCAAGAAGCGCCGAGAGCGCTGCCCGCTTCCTTACACGCACACACAGTTAGATGCCCGCTTTCTTCCGGATGCTCTCCTGGGAATATCATGGAAAAGGAGGCGATGATGTGGGATGCAAATTCCCATGTTTTCATCAGTGATCATTTCTAAAGGCAACTGTCCCCAAGTTTAAGGAAAGCTGTGAAGTAGTCTACATGACACTAAATGTCTGCTTGCTACAGGTAAGTTGACGGCAAAGGCCACCATCTAAGTCACTCTCACGCTGCGCCCTCTACAGTGGAAGCAATGGGTAATCACCATGGTGTGCCTGTTACCTGTAAGTCAAATTTGCAGTTCTCTTTTCTTATGTAGTCAGTGCAGTCCTGGAGCACACAGAGAGCTCCTGAGGGGTGGAGTAGTACATTCATAACAAATTAACCAGAAGGTGTCACTTCACTTTATCACTCCAGAAATTATAAGCAGGACCTACAATGTTATCGTACCAGCAGTTTATTCGATGCTGGGGTCTGGACATGGAAACAGCATTTTACACTTGTGTCACTCCTCTCACAGGCCCTCTGCCATGCCCAGTCCCTGTCCAAAAGGTGCAGAACTCCATACGCCTGAGGCTCACTTGGCTTTTCAATTTTTTCAGCAGCAGTGAGGCAGAAAATAAAGCAAACATGGACCTTTGAGTGTGGGAGACCAAATAAATCTAAAAAGAGTGTCGGATCTTCTCAGAGCTGCACAAAGAATCCTACGCATACTCAATAGTATGCAGTGCTATGGTGAGGCTTCTTGTCTTAGTGGTGAGATTTATTTCTAGTGAGTCTCTGCACACAGAAACTCCATAACCTTGAACCTTTTGGAAGTGGATTTGCAGACGTTTTGGGGGGTGTTCCTGCATGTGGCCTTGCCTGCTACAATGAGCCTTGCAAGTACAGTGTGGGGTGCTAATTTTTCTCACAAGATACTTCTTGTACATAGAAACATGATCTCACTCTTCTATATTGGGCCAGTTATAAATTAAATTTGGCCCCTTAAAGAGATCAGAAAATTCTTTCATTGTGAGCTTCTGCCACTTTACATTTTTAAATGAGAAATTCCAGGCTGGGTTGAAGATACATGTGGAGGCTCTGTAATATAATCATCAGTGTCTTCACTGCACTGTTGATCCTTTGTGAGAATTAAATTTCAAAACAACAGGTTAGGTGAAAACTGGGCCTTAATGATCCCTTAAGTTCATTGAAAAATTAATTAAATCTGAGCATAGTGGCACAGTACTGTAGACCCAGCGACGTGGGAGCTGAGACAGAGATGAGATAGACCAGGAGTTCGAAGCCAACCTGGGCAACTCCCCTGCTCACTGCCTCCAGCTGCCTCCCACAGATCCGAGTGTGGGTGATGCACAGCAAGGGACACTATTCTGCCCTGGGTGACACAGGGTGGCAGAGGGACACTAAAATCAAACTGTTCTTTCCCTTCTGACCCCGTCGTAACCTGTCTGAGACTTTTCCCTTGGGTGTATAATTGTCCTCATTATATCATGAGATCATTCAAAATAGTGTGTGTGTGAGATGTGTCAACATCATGATTAGGCAATACATGGCTTGAAAAGTTTACTTTCTTACTGACATTACGTAGCCACTACTTTTACGGCGGTGGCTTAGGCAAGGCAATCAGTAATAGGACAGAAATTAACAACGGCTTCAAGGTCCAGCTGAGGTGTTTCCTCACAGAGCAATTATCATTAGAACTGTTTTTCCTCTGCCTCAGCGATTTGTTTGCCTGCGAGGGAGAGGAGGCTGGGGACACAATTACCTTTCTTTGCTTAAATTAAGACTGTTTTGTGGTCTGAGGCAAGGTTGGAGATGATGGTGATGACGGCTGTTCCAGCAGAAATGCTGGACTTGTGTCAAGGCTGCAGGTCATGATCACAGTCACCAGAGAGTGCAAAGTAGCGCACGATGATGGAGTTTGGGTCTCTGTCACCTGCTCTGTGCCCGGCGGGCATCAAACGCTGATGCACATTTACCAAGTTAAGCTCCATTAGGTGTCAAAAAAGCAGGCCAAACACCCAGAACAGAGCCTCATATGTATTAGGTCTTGGTAAATTGTTTTCAAAGACATTTTTAGCCCTGATTGTCTCTGTAGAAGCAATGACCTTATCATCTTTTTTTAAAGTGACAACATCTACCAAAACCCCCATGGAGGGTTCAAGTCTCCCATCTGGAAATGTGGCACATGGATGCAAAATAAAGACAAAGAGAGAAATTTCTGCTGTTGAGCAGCTCTGGGATGGCCAGTGCTCTCTGTGGAACAAAAGGCCACAGGTCCAAAACCTCATGGCTTTTATTGGTATCAATCAGGAAGGTGGGCGAGGGTCACAGCAGGCTGCCAGGGAAAAGAAACTTTGCAGGCCTTGGCTGTAATGAGAAACAGAGCACTTCTGTACCAGGCACAAAGGCCTCCAATTAGCAATACAAGAATAGCTTGACGTATGCAAGGCTGGCACCGTTACTGCCAGGAAGATTTAATTCTTTTTGAGTTCCATGGCCTGAGCTGAGATGTCATCTCATGTCTTAGCCCTGGAATCTCACGGGCTCCTGCCTGAGCACCCATCCTAGCTATTGTGGGGGGTGAGACTCTAGTTTAGCCAATGAAGGGAACATCTGTTTCAATATAGCCACCTCTGCATATCTCAGTGAACAGGGTTGGAGGAGGGGTCTGGGAAAGATCGAGGCGAGGGATTTTGTTTCTCCAGAGAGCGCAGCTTGGTGGTCTTCCACAGGAAGATTCTGGTGTCTTATCAGTTTCTGCAGAAAAAAAAGCTTCAACAACAAAGGCAAACAGCAGCTACATGGTTTAGTGTCCACATACCAGTTGCTTTTTTTCGTTTGTTTGTTTTTTTTTTTTGGTTTTTCTCCGGTACCGGGAACCGAACTCACAACCTTCCGCTTGCCAGGCAGGCGCTTTGCCGCTAAACTAAATCCCCAGCCCCAACCAGTTGCTTTTTTTCCTTCATGGGGCTATCACAGGAATGTTAGAAGGCATGACAGAAACTACCTTTAATTCTGACCAAGCCTCAGAGATAAGTTTTATTTTGTGTAAAGTCCTGGAATACTTTCTAAAATAGTGCTTTAGTTGTAAATAGTAGACACTTTACAGATTGTGTAGTCCTTAGCCAAGATGCTATTTTCAGGTTTTGGAGATTTTTTTTGAAAGAATGGGACATTTGTACAGGTTACATGTAAACTATACCCACTGCATTATGACATCATGGAAAATGGTGTGTGTTCAAGGTCTTTCAATGCTGCAAATGATAATGCAAAATACTGTTTGAAAAGCTTTAGGGATGCTCAACTTGAAAGACAATTAACTAAAGCTCAGGCAGTACAACAAAAAATCGATCTCCAAGTTGAGAATAACATCTTTGTCACTCTCCTGCCACTGGTAGAAAATATTCAGTTCACAACCTTAAGGATGGGAAGTTTATTTTGGTTCATGGTTTTATGCCACGTTTGTCTGGCTCCAGGGCAGAAACAGGAGGGCAAAGGCGTATGGCAGAGAAAGAACACAGAACCCATGGCAACCGGAAAGCAGAGAGATGAGGGCAGAGCCTGAGAAAAGAACGCACCCTTCCATGTCTCACCCCCAGTGACCCATCTCCAGCCAGGCCTCACCTTGGAAAAGGACATTTAGCTACTAAACTCAGTGGAGCTGAGTATGGCGTGCCCACAATCCATTCATCTTCAAAGCCCAACCTCAAAAAACCCTGAGGCTTTGGGGGGACGTTCTAAATCTAAATTATAACAAATACTATAAGCCACGTTTCTTTTTTCTTTTCTTTTCTTTTTTTTTTTTTTGGTTTTTGTTCCGGTACTGGGAATCGAACTCATGACCTCACCCTTGCCAGGCAGATGCTGTGCAGCTGAGCTAAATCCCCAGCCCTCTTAAGCCACGTTTCAATTCCAAGAAATTCAAGATTTGAGGGAGGTAGTGAGCGCAGGGTGGTTAATCGCATTCAATGCTGTTACTGTGCAGGCTGCTTCCAGGATGCACCCACTTCCTGCTGGGTTTCAAATTCAAGACAATCCTGTCCACATGACCCTCTTCTGGAAATCAACTGCTTAACACCTGCACGAGCCTTCTGAAACACTGGGTCTCTGGAGTAAGTGATTCCGACATTCATTCCTTTCTCCAGATATGACACAATTATCCTCCATAAAAAATAATCAGACAGGAGGCTTAGTGTCTTGTTGAGTTGTCAGAATTTAAAGAAAAGGCAAAGGAACAATAGGTGTACTGCTGAGGAGCAGAATACAATCTCAAATTCAAAGTAAGTCTTCGTGGTGTTTAGTCAGTGTGATGAGCATTTCACAGCGGCTCCTACTCTGGAATGTTACATAATTCTTTTGGAAGATTTATTTTTTTTAAATTTTTTTTTATTTTAAAGATAAAAGGAGGGAAACATTAACAGACATACAACATTTTACAACATATCACAAGCACAATACAGACAATAC